TGCCATAGAAATGTATAATTTCTGTGAAAACAACTTTTTTGCAGTAACTACAAAACAGACTTTAAAAACCAGCTTAATTGCAGTAACTTTGTTTTGGTCATCTTTGAGCTCTAAGTGTCTTGGCACTTGCAATTATCTGCCGCAGAGATCTCAGACTACTAGGAAGCCAAAACAACAGACCCATATCAAGTAAAAGAATTCAGGTGATTGGGTTTGATAAATATAGTCAGACACACAGAAAAAACGACACATTGAAAGTAATCTCAAACAAACTAGTGCAAATGGACAAGAAAGCCGAAAAACCACAATTTGTGGGTACACACACTATATTATTCCCTTGCATTTGGATACCCAAAGGCAGGTGAAAGTGATTTTTTGGGGGCGGGTGGAATAATGAGCCAAAAGAGACATAAAATGAAGGCATTATAACTTGTCAATTTATTGCCAAACTGTTTTATAACCTTAAAGTGCAAAGTCTCTGTAGGATTCTTAGTTGCCTTTTTTAAATATTACTTGAAATATATTCAGGTTAATGCCAAAGATATTGCCACAGCTACGGCATCATGTACTGTGATTTAATATCCTGTATTCTTTTGAAATTAAAGTACATTTATTTGCATTCACCTTCGGGGAGAGGCCTTATTTCATTATTTAGAGAGTAAAAAAGTTCTACTTCAATCAAATGCTGCTTATAATAAAACTGTTAATTATTTTAACTCTGTGTCTGATGTGATGATGGTAATGCAGTTAGCTATTCCACATAACTAAATGAGGGTTTAACTTAAAAGGAATATAAAGTTGATGTTACGCTGTGTTGAATTTTGGTAACTGATTATCATTTTGTTTATGTGCCATGTTCAGAGGATCTTGCTGCCTTTCTCTTGGTATCTGCCCACTGCAAGTAGAAACACATTTTTACCTCCAAGATTATAGCAAATATTTTTATAAATAATCTGACTTATCCCACCCACTGCCTATGACTTTATAAAATAATCACATTGCTGAATACTTTTGAAAGTTTGATGTTTTGTTTGGTCTAATAATTAGGCCAAAACAAGAAACTAGGCAGCACAGTGGCTCAGGAGGGAGCATGGTGGCTCACTAGTTAGCACTGTAGCTTCACAGCAAGAGGGTCCTGCGTGGGTTTTCTCTGGTTTCCCCCACCAATAAAAACATGTATGTTTACCAAAGACCTGGAAGATATGCAAGATTCAATTATTTATCCCCATTCAAATAAATGGAGGGCTAAACCGGAAGTTAGCCGGTTAGCCAGCAGAAGTCTCTAGTGTGCATCCTTTAATGAGCCACTGTGGCCCATAGAGCATGTGCAATATGTATTCATCCAGATAATTTCTTTGCAGCGGTAAAGTTACTTTTTTGGCTTCTTGCGCGCCACTGAGCAGCTTTCTTAAGCCTTACATTTCGACACTTCACTTGAAAGTTTCTTTTTAATCAAATGCTGTTTTCCCTATTTTAATTCTATTATATAATAATATATATTAAATATTCTTCTCTAGCAATAAAAGATTGTGGTAATTATAACCAAGTGTCTATGTGTTGTGTCTGGTGCCTTAGGGGGAATCTCTAACTAAAACAAATGAGCTAAATATTTCAGTTTCAGTGACTTCTTTTATTCTTTTGCCAGAGGTGGTTTGACAGGGAGGAAAGAAGTTCAGCTTTTACATAAAAAAAATATTTTTACAGCTTTTTTTCTCTTTAGTCATCAATAAAATTAATGTTTCACTTTTGAGTGTATGTAAGAGATTCCTTTAAGTTACTGTTTCCTTAATAAGCACGTCTCACTTGCGTTGGCAGCAGAATTTCCTTTATTGTTGTGAGGTGGGGGTCGTGTCCTCACTGACTTATTGAAATAGCCAAAAGCATAGCTAAAACCGTGTTCTTTGCACAGCTGACCTTTGGGCAGCAGATGGTGACCTTTTCCCCGCTGGCCATCCATGGGGTGTCCAGGCATTCCTTCACACAAGTGGCCATGTGGAGAAAAGGCCCAAGTGACCATCTGCCTCTGGTGTCCACAACAATGGGCCCCACCCTCCTTAAAGTGTGCTGAGGGTTGTTGGCCTTTGTGCTGACCTGGAGGTGGGTGAGGGGAGAGTTTTGGAGGTTTTAATTAGTGTTATTTGGGGTTTTAGGGGAGGAAAACTGTAAAACAGTCATAAACACTCAAACAATATAGTGGATCAGTCTGTCCAAAATACAGCAGAACTAACTGCCATTTACCTGAATAACTGCTTTGGTTAGATTTAATTTAAGAAGCCCCATCTGCTAAATGTTCACATTTAAATGTATAAAGCTACAAATGTGCATAGATTCTTAATGATTTCTGGTAGGTTTCATTTTAAAGTTTCAAATCTGTGTATTTCTAAATATCTCCTAGATGGCCAGTGCATCAGATTAAAAAAAGTAGCTCTGTTTTGGATTTTCAAGTACTAATGTCTGCCTTCCTTTTAGTTTAGTATTAGTTTTCTAATTAAGCTTCTGTTAATTTGGACAATTTGATTAAGGCCTGACCAGAAGATGCAGATTAATAGAGTTTCCATTCCTGAGTAATATGATTTACAGCATAGGTTTTATTTTAATGTTTCTGTCAACATGAAGGTACATTTATAAATTGCAATATGAATAGATACAATCACTGCATTACTGTTTGTGAAAGCTTCATTCACTGATGATGTACTGAGCAGCTTGTAATTTACATCTTTGAGAGGATTTAATTAAGGTAGTGGGTGGGGAAATTGGGAGCCCACGGGACTCTATGGACCCATGGGATAGTTTGATTATTGATTTCCAGACTGGTAATCTAGACATAAATCCTCTGGAACAGAAGCCATGATCATCTGTTCCTAATGCAGAAATAACACACTTCAAATTTGCTGTCCTTGGCATTAAGGTTTTTAAAAATGTAAATGTAATGTTTGCTCTTCCTTGTATGCTCAAACACAGTCCCTTTGCTCCTGTAGCATACAAGTAAACATGGGCCAAAGTAAGAATAAACATAAGTAGGATTGGTTTGGGCACATGTCAATGATAATAGCTGCTTTGACTATGAAAAGGGACAGACTGAAAAGAGAAAAGTTGAGCAGAGACCTGGGGGGTCGAGGAGTTCTAAAGGCTGATTTGCAGGTGAAATAGATGGCACACTCTTCTTTGTGGCCATTGTCCTGCTCTGCGTCCAGATGGCCTCTTGAAATTCTTTAGAGCTGAAAACCCAACGCTGTGGGAGTGAATACGCTTCCTGCGGGATTTGGCCTCTCTAATGGGCTAATTTGGCAGTTCCAGCTCATATTAACGGATATAATTTTAAGCCTGACAGCACAGTCCTTATAATTGTGATTATGGAATATCTCATAATACAACCCAGAAAATGCAATTACTCCAAAACCTTTTTCTTCTTTCGATTGCCAAACTTGCAACTTGAATTGATTTTTCTATGACTTTAGAGGGACATTTATTATTAGTTTACTCATCTGTGGCTGCCACAAAGTCAGCACAAAACCGGAGATATACTCTCTCATAAGACTGCAGTCATATTGAAAATGTAATAATTTGAAATTCTGTTCACAAATGGCTGTAATTATAGAACTCCAGGGTCAGTTTTTTATGCCAGTAAGTTATCACAGCAGCAGCTTTTAAATATGGATAACTTAAAACACTAAAGTGTTTGTCGCTCTCATGACGAGGCCATAGTACTTTAGTACTTTAGTACTTAATACCTGAAACTGCAGTTAAAACTCTGAACATTTTAGAAAGAAACTGTTGCTCTGGTCAGCATATAAAAGGAAGGATGGAAGCTTAGATTCTGAGCAGTGCAAATATTTCTAGTAAGACCTTGATCAATTAGATTTGTGAGGCACTGGTTGGAGAACTGATGTGCTTCTGAGCTATTTTGTCACATTTTATTCAAGATAGGGAACAATATTAAGATGCTGTGGATGTTCTACATGACTAAATATACCAGTTTGATGCAGTGAATGCAAAATGATTTAATTAGCATCTATCAATAAATTAATTTGGACGATGGAGTGTTGTGTTTTTGTCAGTGTTCCTCAAGCAGGCAGCAGAAATCACTCAATCAGAAGTACAGTGTTACTGATAAAACAGTTTATTGAAATTACAATAATTGTAGGCTTTTACAATCTTTTTGATCTGCATCACAGTTTATTTAGGCAAACAGGACAAGGACAAAATAGTGCTTTTCTATATAGTTAACAGAAGCAGCTCATACAGAAATTCACCAAGACTGACAAAGAGATGAAACATACGGAAACAAACATTGATTCAGTCTTCGAATGATCAAATGATCTCACATAAAAATAATACTGATAAAAATTAAATAAAAAACACCTCCAAACAAACATATTTGTGACATTATCAATGAAACAATGCAACGAAATTAAATAAAAGTCCATAAATAAGATAAATAACACAGGGTGGTATAATTTCACCCAAATTAATAAAGAATAAAATATATAATCAAATAAAATAAAATAATAAGATAAAATGAAATCCTTTGGTACACTCAGTAGGCCTTGGTTCAATCCATCAAAAACTGATGTAGAAATATAAATAGTCCATTTTTAGTAGCATGTTCATCTTATTGTTTTGCACAGAGCTGCTTCACTGGAACTTGTGTGAAAGGGATTCAGGATGCTCTTTGTTTCTGTCGTCCTCTTTCTCTTTGCGAAAAAATCTGCAGAAAAAAGCAAGAAGAAAGAATAATGTTAATACTCTGTTGCTATAATTGTATAATCATGGGTCACAGGATCAAACACGTTGTGGATCTGCAAGACTTGTTCCTCACCTGTAATTTGTGCGTTGTTTCTGGGCTTGGCTGCCGGTTTAGAGAGCGTCCTCTTCCTCCGGACTGGCGTCACTTCAGCGGGACACTTGTGTGTGTTGGAGATGCTGGAGCAGTTCTCCTGGTCGGTCCCTGCGCTCTCTTCACGGTCGCTCAGCCGGTCATCATCCTCGGTGTTTGAAGAGCAGACACCCTCCTTGGGCTGTGCGCACTCCTGATAAAGTGCAGCAGCGCAGTCTGCGGGTAGTTCCTCCCACTGAAACCTGCCAGGCAGCGGCGTTTCAGTCTGGAAGTTAAAGTTCCAGCGGCGGCTGTCCTGCTCACTGATCTCCTTCAGCTTCTGCTTCAAGTCCCGGCGCAGCTGGTCGTGGTCCACCGGGCCAAAGAGACTCCTGCAAACCGACTCTCTGCGTCTGATGGGATCCATCCTTCAGTTGGTTCTGGTGGTGTGTTGTTGGGAAAAGTCTTGGTGTAGTTTTAGAGGAAGCTTGTTGATGCTATGTCCCTCTGGTCTTCTCTGGTCAGCACACAGCTGCAGGGCGATTTAAAGGCTCCAGGGCGCACGATGCTCTGTTTGTACACAATGAGAAGAGGCTGCTGATTGGCTGCAGCTCTCTGAATTGGCGGATAAAGGGAGGGGGAGGAATTCATTAATTGTGTGATGCAAACAGCTGAGACCATCAATAAAACTCTCCGGTTCCATTTGGGATACTCTGTGTAATATTCCTCTGTAAGCATTCCTGGTGCACGTCTTAAACAGTCCATCCTACTTTTCATTTACATGATTGTAAACTGTTAGCAAGAGCAAAAAAAAGTCTCCCAAAAGCCTCAGCGTTGCAGTTATATGTACTCTGTTTTTTCCTAATGAAAGAGCACCAACATGCAGTAGTGCACTTCAGCCTCCAGGGAACAGTGATTAGTGGCCACTACAGGCATTTCTTCCTGTAGGTCATAGAGGCCAAAGTCTTCTTGCCAAGATGAGATTGAAAGCAAGTTATGGTCCAAAACAAAAAGCAGTTAAAATCAGGAGATTTAGTTTTACATACAGGTCAATACTTCACCAATTAAAAAGTTATTGCTATGATTATTTCATTTTTATCCATTTTAAGATGATTTTCCCCCACAGGTTAGAGCTGTAGAAAGGTTCTACGTTTTGCACCTGCTTTCAAAACCCAAGATTGTCTCTCTGAGATTTAAGGAAGGTCCTGTTCTCACTCACACAGTTAAACACATTTATAGCTGCCAGTGAACCCACAGTCTGATTTGCTGGCCACTGAGCAGCTCCACTGGAGAAGCTGGGGGTTATGGGCCTTGCAGAAGGATACTTAAGTGGAGGTAATGCAAGGGCATTCACTTTCCCAAACTAGATTTTCCTGATCAGTCTAGTATGCTAGAAATGCTGATAGTGTGAATACAAGGTTTGCACATTGAGCCAAAACTCTGATAAACTACCGCCTCTCTGTGTATTCTCTTTGCTGTATGTAAAGAACGTAGCAAAACACTTACCTAGAGACTAATCTGAATGTTGATCTGAAATTCATCTGACAATCATTTAGATACATATTATAGGTCCAGTGTGTAATATTTAGGATCTATTGGCAGAATAGATTTTATTTTTAGATTTTATTAGAGCATAATCACTTGAAAATGTGAATGACTGTCTTTTTGTTACCCAGAATGAGTCATTTTTAGAGGGAGTGGGTCCTCTTCTTACACAGGCCACCATGTTGAACTACCATGTTTCTAGAACGGATAAACCAAACACTGGCTATAGATACGATATTTTAAAGTTTTTTTGCAAGCTTCCTGGTCACTAGAAGGCTGAACTGCATTCAAATAGTTGCTATCTGCAACTTTACCACTACATGCCACTGAATCCTACACACTGGTCCTTTAAATACTTCTCTCCATTCAACTCATATTAAATAGCTGTCACATTGACAGATATCAATGTTCAAGCTAATCTCTAGCTGTCCACAAACATGCCAAAAATATGTAGAAAATTAAACACAAAGCTGTTTTTTAACAGTTAAATATTTGTTGATTAGGCAGCTGGAGTATTTGGTCCTCATGAGAGCGATGTGCGGCGGTTGAACCAACATGCAAAGTAATGGTGCACAGAGGTGTCTGGGATTGGCTGGAGGGAGAGCCCTACCTTTGTACTACTTCCTAATGGCACAGGTGGTTGGTGAGCACTGTGAAAGACAACTCCTCAGGTGTGGTTCAGCAGGAGGAGGAGAGGAACATTCATTTCAGCCATGCAGGAAAGACAAGGCACACCTCTGGTGAGTGTATATTGTGCCGTGTAGCAGCTGTCTTTTTTCTGTTTATCACTGTAGGGACGTCACTGTAGGGAAGTCAAAAGATGCTCTCTGGTAAGTAAAGATATGTACTGTAGATGATGACCAGTATTTTCACATAAAGCAGTGTGTCTGTTAATAATACACCGGTTCCCATCTAAAGTGGATGTCAAGGGTGATAAAGCAATATGGGCAATCATCCTATGATTTATGTGTTGTGTGAGGGAATGTTTTATATGATTTCATATCTGGAGGATCTAATTACACAGCTGAAGAGTTTGACTTGAAGATGAAACAGAGTTTGTGGGTCTGGTCTTTTTCTCTTTTATTCTCTAAACAGATATATGTACCTACAGTGTTCCTTTACAAGTATTACAAATGTTGACACATATACATTTCTCCACTAGCCCAATTAAGTGATCCTTATATTACCCACTTGCAAACTTACATTAGTAATTTTTATGTACAATATCTTACCTCTCTTGGTTTACGGTTATGAAAGATGGATTTTTTCCCATGATAAAAACGGACACTAGGTGATTTTGCTGAAATGTTAAACCCCAGTTACTACAATATTGGTTTTACTTTAATGGGAGGCTTTAGGTATCATCACTTCATCACTACATTTGTGAACAATTGCTTTAAAACTAACGTTATTGGTTTTTCAAGTGTTATAAAATGTTCAGAACAAATATTGATTTTAAAACCCTGTATTGACTTTTTTCCTCAAGATTACTTTTTTAAATTTAAAGGAGATTTATGTATGTGTCTAAAGGGGGGTGCTGGGCTCTTCAGTTGTACATGCTGAATCTGGTTGCTGTCAGCTAATATACACAAATATATCAAGACATCTCAGATCATCATCTCCTCTGCTTGAGAGAAGAGAAGTTCATTATACCAGACTTCAAACGAGATGTAGAGCATTTGTGCATGTTAGTGTGTCTGCTCATGAAACACACACCCACCCACACACACACAAACATAGCAGGGTGTCCTCTCCTCTACCTCTGCATGCAAATTGGCATGTTTGCATGCCCAATAGTGTTTTCCCTCCCAGACCCAGACATATACTCAAATAAAGGCTTCTGCAACAAGCTGCTCACTTACATTAATACAGATGGTTTAACACAAATTGACTCTCACTCTGTTAACCATTGCACCACAATTCTATTAAAGCACCCAGCAACCAGGGAAGCTGCTGCTTTTTGTCAAAGAAGTATGTACTTGTGCTGCATTATTGTTTTAATCGTTTTTCACAAGCAGCTCAAGTGCCCATGCAAATTAGGCTGGCTGATAAAAGTCTGTGTTTACTCAGGCAAATAGATAATCTTATCAATAATGAATGAGTTTCCTTTCTGAACTCAGTGTCATTTATTTCTATGAAAAGAATCACTCAGAGATAAACAGACTGTGGATGTTTTCATTGTAAAACAATAACCATGCACAAACCAAATCATTGTGTCAGAAGCACATTCCAGACTCCATACAATACAATAAAACCTGTATTGACATTTGACATAATATTAAAAAGGTTTTATGTTCAGAGGTTCTGGTGGGAGCCCACAGTATTGTGGCCCACTTTTCTTGGTTTCATGTATATGAGTGACAGTGTTTTGTGTAGTTCTAGTTCAAACATCATCCAGGAAGCACTTTGCATATGAAGCGAGAATGAAAATTCTGCCAACTTTGCATTGACCACAAGTACTCCAAAGAACCTCCCCCTCTGTAAAGAGTGGTGAGTGAGTCATAATGGATTTAGAGGAAAATGGGCTTAATATCTGTGTATCCATTTGTTTACAGGGGACACTGCAACCACAGACACGATGTCTGCGATGCGGGGAAGTGCTGGTGTGGTCAGAGGAGCACAGGTGTGTGTACAGAAGTGAAACACAATATGAACACAGGCCTATTCCATGAAATGATATATAAGGTACATTCATGGCAATTGTCAGAAGTTCTTTATCAAATTACAGTGCAGTATTCACAACACCAGATCAATTGAAAATAGACATTTGTAAGCAATCAAATCAACCCAGTGATTAACAGGCTATAAGTGGAAGAGGTGCTCTAGGAAGCAAACATTTGTACTGGACTAACAAGCCTTAACTAATTCCAAGTATAGTTTTCTATTTAAATTATTCATGAAGGCTGGTCATAATTTCCTAGCTGTTAAATAGAATGGTTTCAGCAATGTTAAATACTAAGAGCAAAAGCAAAGGGCTATATTCTTGATACAGCAGATTATGGACAAAGCTAACAAATCATAAAACACGCATGATGCCTCCAGCAAGGCAAAATCATCAAAATTAGTTATTTTTAATGATATATAGATTTTTAATCCCCCTCTACATCTGGATTGGCTTTAACATAATATAATATCTCTCAGTGTCCTGCTGGGCTGTTCCTGCTGCTCTACAGTGGATGAGACACTGGAGAATGTAGCCAGAGGTCTGGCCAGCAGAATGAAGAAGGAGAAGAGTCACTGGGCGGCCGGAAGAGTGGGCGACATTGACTTCATTGGTTCCACTAAGACAAGAGGAAAGGTGAAACTAGATAAGGAATACTACCGTTTGTATAACAGCAGAGAGTTTGTACAAAGTGTTTAAAACATCAACTCCTCTCTTTATATCCAGTTTGTGAGGGTGCGCAGCAACACAGACCCAGTGCTGATTTACCAGATGCTGACAGAAGAGTGGGGCCTTGCTCCTCCACACCTGGTGGTGGCTCTGGTGGGAGGAGACGAGCTGGCACAGATGAAGCCCTGGCTCAGGGACACTCTAAGAAAAGGGCTTGTTAAGGCTGCACAGAGCACAGGTTATAATCAAAGGGCCAAAACTGGCCTTGCATTTTGAAATCAACAGTTAATGATAGATAATGGGTTAATTGTTGCCCTCTATTGGCTGGTAGCAGAATTACTGGAAACGCATCATCAAGATCAAAGCCTGGCTCTTATTTAGATGTATGAAGTCCAAAATAAGAGTCATACATTATTTATCATTTTTTATGTGTTTTTAATTGCATGATTAGTTAAATATTTTCATGAATTTTAATGTATGTAAAGAGGATTGACCCAGAATGCTTTATAACCATATATGCCAATAATCTAATTAGCATAATCAATAGGCCAGCTGTTTATATGGAATCCAGGACACAGCTTTCTGGTTTGATACGTACACATAGTTAGTGCACAAAAACTGTCTATACAG